TATTGTTATATCTATATATATATATAAATGGACGTGTGTCCCTATATTTCACTTTTTAGCCAAAACTACACATCGCACATGAATGGTGTTTGTATGTGGTAGTAGCCCCAAGTCTCNAAAAAAAACGATAATTTTCAGCCTAAAGATGATCTTGCCTGCATGAAATTAAGAGTTTTAATTAATATAAATAACAAACTATGGATAATCCTAAATCCAACCAAAAACATAAAATACAGATAATTTAATTATAGTTTAGTACTAAAAAGATAGTTTAATATGTAGTTAAAATTATAATCACAGTTATACTTTTAACCATAAATTTTGGTCACTAAATCTAATAATTTTATTGTCAAACTTTCCCAGAATAACTATTATTTTTTCATATAAAAAAAGATGTGTTTTAGAAATTATTTCATTTGAATTTTAGCATTATTTTAAAATAGATATTTATTTGTGTGTTTTATTAAACTCACTATTCCAAACTAATCAGTATATGAAACAGTTTGCATCCAGGGACACCCATACATTGGGGTACTTGGCCTTTTCTTAATCCCCAAGGGAGCTCTAAGATTTCATTTTATTTTTAAATTAGTTACTCATTTTTATCACAGAAGACTTTTTACAGTACCGAAATACCACTGTATTTAATTAACACAATTTTGAAATATACAGTAGCATTGAGGGATTAACTAACTACATTAATCAAGGGATAACTATATATATATAAAATTTAATGTATACATTATAATGTATTTTACATAATGTATATACAATGTTCATGTTTATAGCCCCCCTTTTGTAGTCTGTGGGTGCTACTGTTTGCATCAATGAAAATTTCAGATTAATGAGGAATGAAATAAAAAAAAGGACTAAAGGCATATATATTTAAAAAAGTTTGTGTATTTGGTGCATATATGTATGTTAAAATGTGTAGTACATGCAAAGAGAGACCAATAAATAAGATAGAGAGGAACTAACAGCCTAAATCTTGAATCTGCAAGTGGGTATCATTCTCTTGAACAATAATGCGAGATTGCACACTGCTCAATGCATCCACTCCCACATCAATGATTATGCACTGAGAGATTTTGGAACACCTTCCTTATACACCAGACCTAGCATCCAGCAACTTCCATCTCTTTGGGCCTATGAAAAAAACAGCTCTGTGGACAATGATTTCAATTGTGGAAAGTGTGCAACAGACCATCATTGTCTACATCAGTGTTTCTCAATGGGGGCGATATCACCCCCATGTGGGCGTTTTTCCATGTTGAGGGGGCAATTTGTAACTATTTATATTTTGGGGGCAAAAAACAATTTTCTGGACGATATAGTAAAACGTTATATTAAGATTAATTAATTAGTTATTTTATTCTTTATATCGTATAATAATTAAACAAATAACTTTATACTAGTCACTAGTCTATTCAATGCAGTACAAATTTAATGTTAACCCTGGCCCTCGGTATCAGAATTTTGAAGTGAAGGGGGTGATACTACGTAATGGTTTTATTGAAGGGGGCGATACTACGTAATGGTTTTATTGAAGGGGGCGATGATTCGTTAGAAGTTGAGAAACACTGGTCTAGATCAAGGTTTTTGACTCAAAACGCTTTTCTGACAGAATGGATTCATTGATTACCCAGCTTGAGTAAATTTAGTGATTATGTGGAAACAATGTATGTGGTAGTGTGCAAATTTTCTTTAATGATAATATAAAATTTTAGATTGTAGGAAGAGGGGAAGTAAATTTCCAAAGGATTTTGACTACAAAGGATAAATTATGCTTTTCTGTTTTAGTGCAGTGAAATTTTTTCTTATCTATTAATGCATTTGTGTTTCTTCTTTTTTTTTTTTTCTTGCTGATTTTGATAAGCTTTTTGTTCCTCTGTTGTTTGTTTATTTTGTATTTTTGTGGCACTGGTCAAATGACCACAGTGTCTTTTGAGATTAAAGACTAAGATTATTAACTGGACAAAAATAAAAAATATTTTACATTTATAAATTGACTTACTTGTATTGAATATTTCTGTTTAAATACATATAATTAAGTAAATTCATGTTTGATATTTATTTCTTTTTGTTTCACAAGACAGTTTCAAATAAATCAATCTTAACAGATAAGCAAAATTATATTAAAAATATTAACTATTGAAACACACATGAAAAATTAATGTAAGTGTTTTTTTAACAAAATCAACTGCATGAATATTGTAAGAACATTAAAAAATTATCTTTTATATACATGATCCAACTTCATACTTAGGTGAAAAAGTAAGAATCAAGCTAACAGTTAAAATTTAAATTGTTTTATGTAGAAATGCATTTTGAATCTATAAATTTATTTAAATTACTAGCTGCAAGGACCCGCTTCGCTGGGTTTTTATTTGTATGTAATATAGTTTTTTTTATATATAAAAGACTGTTTTTCTAAGTAATCTAGAATCTAGCTGCAAGGACCCGCTTCGCTGGGCAAAAAGTAACGATAGTGAAGATTAAGATAATTATATTATAGCCAACCTTACCCGTTTTCACAGAATGCAAGAATTAGGTCCCCCGTTTCCAGATTAATTAGAGAATTTTTACGAGTCTAAAAATATGTTCGATTTCCCGCAAAAACGCAAAAAACCACCTGTAAATCTTGCATGCCGCTTTATGTTATCACTTCCTTTGTTACTCAACACTTCCATTGTTAATACTTCCACTGTTACACATCTTCGAAGTCAACCACTTTCAACCCCATATCTCCCACACCCTTATAGCAAAGAATGCAAAAATTAGGTCCCCCGTTTCCAGACTAATTAAAGAATTTTTATGTCCAGTCAAATGACCTATTTTCAATTTGATCAATTTTCTGGAACATTTACAATCGTTCTATAATCGAACCAATTCAAATACAAATTCGAATTTAAACAGTTCGAACATTTTTAAAATCGAAATAGAAAATCTTCGAAGTCAACCACTTTAAGCCCCCATATCTCCTGCACCCTTATAGCTATCGAGACGCAACCACCATAGTGCACGAATGGAGACTTGGGGCTACTACCACATACAAACACCATTCATGTGCAATATGTAGTTTTGGCTGGAAAGTGAAATATAGGGACACATACGTCCATTTATATATATATATATTCATTCAACTCCAATAATGCTATAATAAAACACACCAATAAAAACTATTTTAAGTTTCCATTATTGCAATTTTGGTGATGTAAAAAATGAATAGTAATATTGTATCATCCATATTTTATCATACCATCCATATCCATTTCATATCCTTTTAACCATAATAAGCACTTTTTCTATACTCCTTTATTTAATAGTGTAATATTTAAATTAAATTAGATTATTAGATTAATTATTAATTTTATGGATTTACATAACAAAAAAACATGTTGATACTAATAAGCAACACCTAGATTTATGTTATGAAAATACTAAAATATGTAGGGAAAAAATCACTATATATATAGTGATTTTTGTAATTTGCAGAGTTTCATGTATTCAACGTGGGTTGCCATATATCCTATATTTTGCTTCTCCTTCTGATGTTCGATGGCATGTAATATTTCATCTAAAAACTACAAAAACAGTTTATTCTTTTCCTAATTTTTAGAAAGTTTTCATGGGAAAACACTTAATTTTAAGGAAATAGTAGTAATCAAGTTTTCACATTTTCCATTACCTTGTACTCAGATGTGAAAAAGATCATAACCCTAATCTGGAATAAAGAATTAAAATAGAGAAGGCTATCCAGACACCACAATCCATTTATATTCTTATGCTACTTGATCATTCACAAATATTTCCTTCTAATTTTAAATAATTCTGTGATTGAATGGGCATTTAATTAGTTGTCAAAAACAAAAAAAATACTGGAATTATGAAATTTATCAGCACAAAGCTCCATTCCTGTTTTTGTAATTTGGACAAAAAAATTAAAATTTTTGAAATAATGATGAAATATATATACAGTCAATCCTCTATAACACTGTTGATAATTCCATTTTATATGAATTCAATGTTGTACGAGTCACTTAGATTTTACAAATACATGAGCTATTCACAGCCTGGCACATGTATTTGTAAAATCTAAGTGACTCGTACAACATGGAATTCATATAAAATGGAATTATCAACAGTGTTATAGGGGTGTTGACTGTACGGTATATATATTATATTATTTAGATACCATGAATTGCAATTCTCATAACTTATTAATTTGGCTTGAATATAAAAGATGCAATCAAAAATTTCTATATAATTTTCCATTCAGATTTTATTAAATTTTCATTTTACTATACAGGATGATTCTAAATATTTGTGTCAAAAATTTCAAAGGTTAATTTTTTGAATAATTTCAACCATAACAGTGCATTTGAGTATATGTTCAGAATGGCATACTTTTAAAGTTACAGGATGTTTAATATGTTGCCTCATTAAAAATATTGATGACTAACAGAATTGAATTGTCCTGTAAAATAATTTGACACATCCCTGGTATTTTTGAATGTGCACACCAATCAATACGGCAAAGGATAGAATTTTGGTGGTGTCATTTTCAATAGTTACTAAAACTATCTTGTTTTGAACATATGTTCATATGCACTTTTACAGTTGAAATTATTTGAAGAATCAGTTCCTGAAATTTTTCACGTATGTTTAGAAACATACTGTATAGTATATGATTTTGCATGTTAAATTTTAACAATTTAACCAAAAATAAATTAGGTAACAGTTTTTTATTTAATTATTTAAAGTGATTATATCATAAAAGATTATTTAAAATTATTCTTAAATTTTTAAAAAAGCATTCATGGTTTCATGATAATTATGTATTTATATGCAATGAAATAAAATACAAGCTTTTTTCTCTCCTTTTACCTAAGCTTAAGAATTAAACTTATCTTAATATTAAATTCATTTCTTTTACAATTGAAAACAATGCCATTATTACAAACAATCATCAAATTGCACTTCAGTTTTCAAAATATTACCATAATTATCTTCAACTAGAATACTACATTCTGTACATTCATTGGAGAATATATTAATTAAATCAGAATGCTCCAATTGGATTTCTTTAGGTCCTTCTTTTTCTAAAAATTCCCAATGATCACGGGCTAGTCCATCCATAGTTCGGAATTCAATAATACGTATCCCATAACAAGATATTATTTTAGAGCTGCATGAAATATATGTATAAGTTTAATCATTAATTTTTACAGCAAATATTTATTCATTTTCCTTTATTAGAGAATAATTACTTATTGATAATATTAAATAAAACTGGCACCATAATACTCAGACTACATACAAAACTCTTGCCATTTGTCCTATTAGAAGTCATTATAAGTTTATTTTATTTTATATTTATTTTAATTTGAAAGTTAAATTCTATTTTATTGGTAATCCATATTTTGCTTTTAAATCTTGTTCAATCTACTGTATTTGTAACTGCTGTTCTTTATTTGAATTTAGATGTAAGCTGATGATGTTCTGTAGTGAGAACAAAATCATTTGAATCCATGAATTGAGCATTTTTGTATATAGTCTGAGTCTAACTACTTGTTATTTTATTACTTTATTATTACTTGTAAAAATAAATTATAACTATTAAGCTATGTTAAATCATCAAAAAGAATATTAACAGAAATAAAAATTACAGTAATAAGCATAATATTATAAATATATTGATATGAAGGGAAAAAAATAATTAGAGAGGTTGCAGCCAACGTTTTCATTGCGAAAATGTGTACGTTGGACGTTCAGTGCCGCCTTCCTGTAAGCCTAGGAGTTTGACAATGGTGTTTGGAATGTCGAGCATGATTCCACTGACTATCCAAACACCATTGTCAAACTTATAGGTGTACAGGAAAGTGGCGCTGAACGTCCGACGTACACATTTTCGCGATGAAAACATCAGCCGCAACCTCTCTATTATACGTGAGGAGAATGTTTAATTGAGTTGCAATTTGAAAAAATTGTAGAACTATAAATTTCCAGTCATCTGTCCATCCTTTGTTAATCTCAAGAATGGCGTTAGATACATGAAAGTCAAGACCAGATATAGAAAGCTTAGGGGCAGGAGGCTCCAATTAACTACAGTAGACCCCCCCTATAATGCTTAGATACGTTCCACGCTAACCGAAAATTACGTTGTAGGAACGATTAAATACATGAGCCAATCGCAGCCTGATAGGTGGGAACTTTACGGACTAAGGCTGTTCGAAAGGTTTTCTTCTATAAAATTAACCGATTCTAGACTAATTCGACTCAACATTTCCAAAACACGTATAATTTTTTGGGAGTAATCCGTATAAACTATGCTATAAACAAAAAATTATAGGATTACTTACCGAGTGTGTACCGTTCGACTACGCCCGTTGTTCAAAGCTTGTCTTCGTCGCGGAACAGCACACGAAACGGCGGCCGCGATATCTGATAAATAATTTATCGCAGAAAGATAACTTGACCTTTGGAGACATCATTAATATAAATAATTTTTATGGCCGTTGAATAAGAAGTGTTTCTTTCACAAGAAATGTATAAAATTAGTGCTGTATTAGACTTACGGTACCTAATTTACATACTGTGCAGACGATAATAAACTCAACTTACTAGCCTAAAATCTCCGTAGCGTGTTGCCAGGCGGCAGAAAGCATATATATAATTATAATAAAGTTACAATAAATTAAGTTAATATATAATTATATATACAGTACCTAATTTATATATAATTAATATATAATTATATGTACAGTACCTAATTTATATATAATTTATATATAATACTAAACAGACGATAGCAAACTCAATTTAGCCGCTCCGTAGCGTGGCGCAGGGTCGGAGGTAAGTAGTTCGGCTGCTCATCCACTATTGGTCCAGACTCTATCAATCTTCTCGCGAAACGACGTTATAGGAGGTACGTTATACGAAAGTTTCTACAATTTTTTCACTACGTTATGGGAATTGTCGTTATAGGAACGTACGTTATAGGGGGGTCGACTGTATATATGAACTTCCACTTTGGACCAGAAGCCACGTTATTTCAATTCAAAAATTTTCCCCTAAAAAGAGTTAGATAGATGACCATCAGAACTCCATTACTAATGAAAAAGTATGGTGTACAGGGGCAAGACACTACAGTACTAATTTGAGGTGGAGAGCATATATTTTAAATTAAATAAATTAAAAATATGATTAAAAATTGCAGCCTGGCATTGTGACGATATCACAATAAATAATTGCTCGTATTTAAGTTAAAACTAATTTTTACTAGTTAATTAAACTAATATTTTAATGTAGTGGAAGAGTGTAGTGATATACAGTATATTTAAGATGTGTTTGTATGTGTATTTTCTCATTTCATTTCAATGTGAAATTATTCAAAACAGAAAAGATTTAAAGCTGTTGAATGTTTCTTAAATCTCCTCTTAGTATTTGTTTTGTCTTTGAGAAATTTAACATATGTGCAATAATCCTTATATGAAATTGTGTATTAACCACATAATTCAAGTTCATATTTTTCTGTTATATATTATAACAGAAATAATGACATACAGGACCATCAAGAGCTTGTATGGGCTGGAGGTAATGTGAGCTCCTTTTGCCATTTTTTTTTTTTTTTTTTGAATAAATGAAACATATAGAATGTTTCTTTATTAATAAAAAGCAATCATAAAGCTTTTGTTTTTTGTTAGTGAAAATAACATTAATTTATAGGAGTAGAAACCACTATAGGCCTCTAAGTTTCCTCTAGGCCTGGGAAAAAAAATCACAAGCTTCCCCTTTCTCAATGGCCCTAAATGTATATGAATGAATATGAATACAAACACATCAAATTTTATAATTAAGAACTGAAAGTATAAATGTCTTTTGGTGTTAATATACTTAAATTAAAGAGTATCAAACACCAAATGATCTTATTTACATTAAAAATTGAAAATACCAAAACTATCAAATTCACTAAATTTGGAGAAACAAAACACCTTTTTTTTGCCAAAAAATAAATATAATTGTAAAAAACAAATGTTTTCAGCCCAATCAATAGGCCATCTTCAGGTCGTAAACGAAAATAGAACGTAAACGTTCCATGAATAGAACATAAAAATTTTAAATCAAAAATTTTTTTACAAGAGAAAAATAACAGAATAATATATAAAAATTAAAATAAAACAAATAATAAAACAAAAATAACATAAATCTTCAATGTACTAATTCTGGTCCAAGTTTCTAGTAAATTTCTTAACCAAGTACTTCCATGCCGAAGGCAGGCTCTCGGCATCCCTCGCATTTAAACAGCCTTCTCCTAT